ATTATCCTGCCACAACCTAGGTTCCATACATTCAGCAGACTGATGGGTCCATATTGACAACCACCCATAACAATGTGCAATATTATCCTGCCACAACCTAGGTTCCATACATTCAGCAGACTGATGGGTCCATATTGACAACCACCCATAACAATGTGCAATATTATCCTGCCACAACCTTGGTTCCATACATTCAGCAGACTGATGTGTTCATATTGACAACCACCCATAACAATGTGCAATATTATCCTGCCACAACCTAGGATCCATACATTCAGCAGACTGATGTGTTCATATTGACAACCACCCATAACAATGTGCAATGTTATCCTGCCACAACCTAGGTTCCATACATTCAGCAGACTGATGGGTCCATATTGACAACCACCCATAACAATGTGCAATATTATCCTGCCACAACCTTGGTTCCATACATTCAGCAGACTGATGTGTTCATATTGACAACCACCCATAACAATGTGCAATATTATCCTGCCACAACCTAGGATCCATACATTCAGCAGACTGATGTGTTCATATTGACAACCACCCATAACAATGTGCAATATTATCTTGACACAACCTTGGTTCCATACATTCAGCAGACTGATGGGTCCATATTGACAACCACCCATAACAATGTGCAATATTATCCTGCCACAACCTAGGTTCCATACATTCAGCAGACTGATGGGTCCATATTGACAACCACCCATAACAATGTGCAATATTATCCTGCCACAACCTAGGTTCCATACATTCAGCAGACTGATGGGTCCATATTGACAACCACCCATAACAATGTGCAATATTATCCTGCCACAACCTAGGTTCCATACATTCAGCAGACTGATGGGTCCATATTGACAACCACCCATAACAATGTGCAATATTATCCTGCCACAACCTTGGTTCCATACATTCAGCAGACTGATGTGTTCATATTGACAACCACCCATAACAATGTGCAATATTATCCTGCCACAACCTAGGATCCATACATTCAGCAGACTGATGTGTTCATATTGACAACCACCCATAACAATGTGCAATGTTATCCTGCCACAACCTAGGTTCCATACATTCAGCAGACTGATGGGTCCATATTGACAACCACCCATAACAATGTGCAATATTATCCTGCCACAACCTTGGTTCCATACATTCAGCAGACTGATGTGTTCATATTGACAACCACCCATAACAATGTGCAATATTATCCTGCCACAACCTAGGGATCCATACATTCAGCAGACTGATGTGTTCATATTGACAACCACCCATAACAATGTGCAATGTTATCCTGCCACAACCTAGGTTCCATACATTCAGCAGACTGATGGGTCCATATTGACAACCACCCATAACAATGTGCAATATTATCCTGCCACAACCTAGGTTCCATACATTCAGCAGACTGATGGGTCCATATTGACAACCACCCATAACAATGTGCAATATTATCCTGCCACAACCTTGGTTCCATACATTCAGCAGACTGATGTGTTCATATTGACAACCACCCATAACAATGTGCAATATTATCCTGCCACAACCTAGGATCCATACATTCAGCAGACTGATGTGTTCATATTGACAACCACCCATAACAATGTGCAATGTTATCCTGCCACAACCTAGGTTCCATACATTCAGCAGACTGATGGGTCCATATTGACAACCACCCATAACAATGTGCAATATTATCCTGCCACAACCTTGGTTCCATACATTCAGCAGACTGATGTGTTCATATTGACAACCACCCATAACAATGTGCAATATTATCCTGCCACAACCTAGGATCCATACATTCAGCAGACTGATGTGTTCATATTGACAACCACCCATAACAATGTGCAATGTTATCCTGCCACAACCTAGGTTCCATACATTCAGCAGACTGATGGGTCCATATTGACAACCACCCATAACAATGTGCAATGTTATCCTGCCACAACCTAGGTTCCATACATTCAGCAGACTGATGGGTCCATATTGACAACCACCCATAACAATGTGCAATATTATCTTGACACAACCTTGGTTCCATACATTCAGCAGACTGATGGGTCCATATTGACAACCACCCATAACAATGTGCAATGTTATCCTGCCACAACCTAGGTTCCATACATTCAGCAGACTGATGGGTCCATATTGACAACCACCCATAACAATGTGCAATATTATCTTGACACAACCTTGGTTCCATACATTCAGCAGACTGATGGGTCCATATTGACAACCACCCATAACAATGTGCAATATTATCTTGACACAACCTTGGTTCCATACATTCAGCAGACTGATGTGTTCATATTGACAACCACCCATAACAATGTGCAATATTATCCTGCCACAACCTAGGTTCCATACATTCAGCAGACTGATGGGTCCATATTGACAACCACCCATAACAATGTGCAATATTATCCTGCCACAACCTAGGTTCCATACATTCAGCAGACTGATGTGTTCATATTGACAAACACCCATAACAATGTGCAATATTATCCTGCCACAACCTAGGATCCATACATTCAGCAGACTGATGTGTTCATATTGACAACCACCCATAACAATGTGCAATATTATCCTGCCACAACCTAGGATCCATACATTCAGCAGACTGATGTGTTCATATTGACAACCACCCATAACAATGTGCAATATTATCCTGACACAACCTTGGTTCCATACATTCAGCAGACTGATGTGTTCATATTGACAACCACCCATAACAATGTGCAATATTATCCTGACACAACCTAGGATCCATACATTCAGCAGACTGATGTGTTCATATTGACAACCACCCATAACAATGTGCAATATTATCCTGACACAACCTAGGATCCATACATTCAGCAGACTGATGTGTTCATATTGACAAACACCTATACCAAAGTGCAATATTATCTTGCCACAACCTTGGATCCATACATTCAGCAGACTGATGTGTTCATATTGACAACCACCCATAACAATGTGCAATATTATCTTGCCACAACCTTGGTTCCATACATTCAGCAGACTGATGTGTTCATATTGACAACCACCCATAACAATGTGCAATATTATCTTGACACAACCTTGGTTCCATACATTCAGCAGACTGATGTGTTCATATTGACAACCACCCATAACAATGTGCAATATTATCCTGCCACAACCTAGGATCCATACATTCAGCAGACTGATGTGTTCATATTGACAACCACCCATAACAATGTGCAATATTATCTTGACACAACCTTGGTTCCATACATTCAGCAGACTGATGTGTCATATTGACAACCACCCATAACAATGTGCAATATTATCCTGCCACAACCTAGGTTCCATACATTCAGCAGACTGATGTGTTCATATTGACAACCACCCATAACAATGTGCAATATTATCCTGCCACAACCTAGGATCCAAACATTCAGCAGACTGATGTGTTCATATTGACAACCACCCATAACAATGTGCAATATTATCCTGCCACAACCTTGGTTCCATACATTCAGCAGACTGATGTGTTCATATTGACAACCACCCATAACAATGTGCAATATTATCCTGCCACAACCTAGGATCCATACATTCAGCAGACTGATGTGTTCATATTGACAACCACCCATAACAATGTGCAATATTATCCTGCCACAACCTAGGATCCATACATTCAGCAGACTGATGTGTTCATATTGACAACCACCCATAACAATGTGCAATATTATCCTGCCACAACCTAGGATCCATACATTCAGCAGACTGATGTGTTCATATTGACAACCACCCATAACAATGTGCAATATTATCCTGACACAACCTTGGTTCCATACATTCAGCAGACTGATGTGTTCATATTGACAACCACCCATAACAATGTGCAATATTATCCTGCCACAACCTTGGTTCCATACATTCAGCAGACTGATGTGTTCATATTGACAACCACCCATAACAATGTGCAATATTATCCTGCCACAACCTAGGATCCATACATTCAGCAGACTGATGTGTTCATATTGACAAACACCTATACCAAAGTGCAATATTATCTTGCCACAACCTAGGTTCCATACATTCAGCAGACTGATGTTTTCATATTGACAAACACCCATAACAAAGTGCAATATTATCCTGCCACAACCTAGGTTCCATACATTCAGCAGACTGATGGGTCCATATTGACAACCACCCATAACAAAGTGCAATATTACCCTGCCAGAAAGAATGCCACAACCTAGGTTCCATACAATCATTAGACTGATGGGTCCATATTGCGGGCCAGAGACGCGGTTACAACACACTACATTGTTTTTTTTCCTGTGCACATCAGTTTGAATGTTTATTCTTCCATCAAAGCAAAATAAAATGAGGTCAGGTCTTTTTGCAGTATTGCCCGACAGCGATTACGCAATGACTTAGATAACATACACTGTGTAGATTGATGTATCCACAATGACGCACAGTAAAGTGCAGTAGTGTCTGATCGAGGTACGCCATGAACTAGGTTACATCCAGTCCGTAGTCTGCTGGCTCCTGGCAGATTGTTCCTGGTGCCTTCCTACTACTTGAGTGATGTCAACAGATCACCCACATTTACAGCATACTAATACAATGTAGGGTACTCCTGCAGACTTTAACATGTTTGATGCTTCTTTGTTTTGTTCTTGCCAAGGAACTGCTTGTTACTGTGTCATCCCACTGCCTCCTACAAGCTTGATACTAAATCTAGGATTGCCACCTGAACTAGATGCTTCATATTGCTGTTGTCACAACTATATATACACTTCATTTTGTTTCTTCCAACTGTTTCCATGACAACATGTCTTTTGTTTCATGCTTTGTCATACATTTGTTTTCACTTTAAACTTGGCAGATCTGCCTTGTCTGTGCTTCTTCCAATTTAAGTTTCCATGACAACATAGATAACCATATCATGCTTTTGTTACCATGACGATTGAATGTCATCCTCTGATGAAGAGTTATTCCCCTTGCAGCCCGCCCGAGCTTCCTCAACCTCCGTTCTAGTACCAATGGTAACTCGGCTAAGCGTACGTTTAAACTATTGTCTCGTTTCTTCCGTGAAGAACATGGTAGTAACAGTTTCAGGATATTTCATATTGTTTTCTACATCTGTGCATGTTTTCCTTCTCCATCCAATTAGTTTACATCTTCATCTTTCAATGTACTGGCTGTTGGATCTGCATGAGACTAAGTCAGTGTTGTCAGCATGAGATTGTTGTACACCATTTGTTTTCTATTGTTTTCAAATCATATGGACATACCAACACTTCCTGTTTGGTTTCTGTCTTACACATATACTGCTAAAAAAGTCGAGATTGTTTCATATTATTCTGGGTAATTTTTCATGCCATGACAGATTAACTATTGTGGCATGAAAGAATTGTGTGACCCTGAACTTTTTAGCAGTATATATCCCGTGATGCAACTACAGAAGAGGGCCATGATGATATGTGAAATTTCTTTGGGGAAAAAATTCATTTTACAAAATGATAAACATTTTGGTCGAATCATGCACTTGAAAATAGAAGTGTACAGAAAATATATGTATTTAAAGAAGATTTGTGTTGGCTTCATTTAAGCCACTGTTTAACATTCATTTACACAATTAGGATGTTCAGCCTAATAGGTTCTTACTATGCAAGGTCATAGTTCCTCGTATGTGTAAGGTCAGGTCCTTGTGTGTGTGTGTGTGTGTGTATGTGTGTGTGTGTGTGCAGTATGGTGATGTTTTTGTGCTGGTCATTTGGAGTTTGCATTCTTGAGATGTGTTTTGCTTCTTGCATGAAGATGTTGTTTGTTGATTTTGATGTGGTAGGTGTCTTGGGCATGATAGTGCAGCTTTTGGGATGGTGTATGTCATGAAGTTGCTTGAAAGCATTTTCTGAGTTAATTATGGTAGAAATGGTGCAGGATCTTCACTCTGCAGTCCAAACAGAATAGTTATTCATTTGCCACCATGTTCTCTGATGGAGTCATTACATCGGTTTGTCTCAGGTGTACAGGTTTGTCTGCTCATTTCCATTGTTGCCATGGCAATCTCAGAACCACTGGTTTCCCTGCACCATGCAGGATATCTCAAACATTGCCGTGGCAATCACAGAACCACTGGTTTCCCTGCACCATACAGGATATCACAGATGTTGCCGTGGTAATCTCAGAACCACTGGTTTCCCTGCACCATACAGGATATCACAGACGTTGCCATGGTAATCTCTGAAGTACAGGTTTCTCTGCACAAGACTGGATATCACAACCATTACCATGGCAATCTCAAAAGCCCTGGTTTGTCTTCTGTACCTGAAATCACCATTGACGACTAACAATGAGGTCATTCAGATGATCCTCCCCTAATGATGCAGTGTGACTGTTATATACACACCCAATGCTGTGGCAGCAATAATGTCAGTGTGTCACTTAGGAAACAGCCTGATGCTGTGACTTGCAGCAGCTCCTTGTGGAAGTTCAGTATTCAGACGCTGTAGATCAGAAGGTTGTAAGGATGTTCATGTTGGAGAGTATTCAGTCTAATGGAGAATCACAGAAGGCTTGTATCTACTGTTAAACTGAGGGCAGGTTCTGTTTCAACTCTAATCATGGCACTTGTGATGCAGCCGAGGACAGAAGAAAGACACACTGAAGTACATTAACTGAGATATTCCACAACCGACATTTGTGTTCCATAAGGCACATCTTCAGTAAAGTTTGGTAGCATAGCCTATGAACAAGTAGATTGGGAGGACAAAACTAGGTCTAGGGTGGGTGGCAACAGTAATATGACTTGGGGGAGAAAGCATAACTGTTAAAAGATTAGGCATTTCCATGGTAAACATCATGGACATGGCTGTGAAGGCCTTGAAAAATTAGATATACTTAGGGAGGGAGACCTTTTGAACACTCTGTAAAAGAGTAAGTACCAAATGAGAAGTCCCTCATCTGCACCCAGTACTTGCCCAACAGGAAGCTGTGTCTGCCAGTATAGCACTGGCTGCCTCTTGTCTCTGCTCATGTTTTGTTATCTAGTCACAATCTAGTACAGGTTTTTCTCAAGATTCAAAAGTATGGTCACCATTGTTTTGTGTTGACAAGGTTGGGTTTTTGCATGTTCAAATAAATACCTTCCCCTGAACTCATTAGTTTTGATTATCTGTTGTCTATTTTATGTTGGCCTCAAGCTTTGTGTTGGTATCAAACTTGTATATTTTACTTCAAAAAATTCTAATCTGACCTAATTATTTTATGAAACATTTTAACTGCTTTTCCAAAAGACAAATGATATTGTATTCCATACTGAGTTGAAAGATGTATTAAACATGCTACATTATTTAAAGTTTCTGCAAAAGAAGGGTGAGTATCTAGTACATTAATGAATTTAAAACACAGGAACAATTAATGGAGATATTTTCTGATGTCTCAGTTCAGGTGTATTACTGCAGGAAGGAACACAGCATATTCCAAGATGTGGTTCCTCTTCCGAGTTTTGTCAGTACTTGAATTGTGCGCCCGGTGTCCAAGTAACAGTACCCTAAGTGTTTGTGATGGAACGAACAGTAAACCAGTAATGAAGGATAACCTATCATACTGTTAGTTGAAGTGGACTTATTTCTAATTGTTTGTTCTATGATGTTGACTGGAAGATTGCTAAGCTGTAAGAAGACATCTAATGCTGCTTCTTCTTTCCTGAACAGCATCCCCCAAGTCTGTGCTGAGTCCCCACACATCCAAGCTGGTGAAGCCGATGAGGACTCTGATTGAGGAACAGCACCAGAGAGAGTCTCGGCCACTTCTACACCAAGACACAGAGGAGGTACTGATGGCGTGTAATGGTTCATTTGCCTGTTAGGAATTGTCCCAATTATCCCTATGCCCAAACTTTCCCTGTATGGGGTCCTCCATTATGTTTTCGGTCCTCTTTGTATCCTTTGTCTAAGGACTAGTGATTTATCATAAGTATGGGGATGGGGAGGAATTGGCCTGTATCCTATTTGGACACACACACCCTATTTTATGTCACATTGTGTCATGGCCCCACTTGTGTCATTTTTTCTTGCAAAAGCATTTGATTGGAGAAAAAGCCCGGGATGTTTTAACAGTCTGTGTCTAATCAGCATCTGGTCTTCGTGCTGGTCTAAATACACATGTTATTCTAAGGAGCTCTCAAACTGTAGTTCATTCTGAAAATGTTAACACCATTTCTACTCTTTGATGTTATATTTGTAAAGAGTTGTAGAATGCCAACTCAGTCGTGTGTTTCCATGTTTGGTTTCAGGACTTGGATGATGAAGAGGAGTTGATACCAAAGTCAGTATCTCGCCTTCAGCAACAGGACCATGATTCACGCAGTCTTGACTCAGATGATTTTCAGGATTTTGAGTCATACCAGAGCCAGCAGACAGCTCGTGTGCAGAGAGAGGGCGCTCTGGCTCTTAGTCACATGACCCACTCCTCCACCAATGACAGTCTAGTGGAGGTGCAGGCGAAGAGCTGCACACCCAGTATGACGTCCAGTGGCTATGGCTCTCAAGCTGTGTCCTCTCTCACCTTGTCTTCAGAGGATTCACTCAGTGTTAAGAGCATTGATGACAATGAGAATATCAAAAACAAGACAGCTCACAAGTCTGGCAGCACAGAACACAGTGGAGACAGCGATGAGGAGGACCAAGCCAAGGTAGAGAATGAGGACCACGCAAAGATGGAAGATGAGGACCATGCCAAGGTTGATGGTGATACGGCCAGAATGGGCGGTGGCAATTCTGAAACAACTCTTGATGATTCCAATGGATTGGTTCAAAATGATTCAAATGATTCTGGTGATAATGACACTGGTGGTAATCGCAAATCCCGATCCGATTCTTTGCTTGATGAGGGAGTGCCTGAGATTCATGATGCCCCTCTCAAGCCTATACCGACGCCACCTCCCAATGGGAAAGAGTTTGATTTCAGTCAGACGGAGAATGATCATGAAGCTGTGAAATCTGCTGCTGAGACATCCAGCCATGAACCTCTCTCACGTATAGACTCAAGCAACTCTGAACCAAGTGACAGTGCAATAGGTCGTGGCGATGGGGACAATGATCCATATAGTGTAACTGCAATGGAGGAACTGGAGAAGCTTGGGGAAGATGAAGGAGCTGACTCAGAGACCGTGGACAAATCTTCTTTAGGAAGTGCCAAGCCAGAGGTAAAGGATACCCCAAGATTGTCTGTATCTGAATCAGAGAACCTTGACAAGAAGACGCAAGGCAAGACCACCGAAACGCCAGTTGTTGGTTTGAAATCTTCTTCTTTGTCAAACATTATTTCACCTAAGACAGACAAGTCTGCATTGTTGGGTAGTGGACAGAAAACACCTGATTCTAAGGGAGTTGTACGTCGGAAGGGATCCGGGTCACGCCAGCGTCCAATGTCCTGCACAGTCTCACCTCAGATCGACACAGCCATGAAGGCGTGGCAGGAGGACCTCGGTATGGACAGGAGAAGTAGTCTTCATGTGTCAGAGGATCAGCTAAATGGTAAGGTGCTTTGTGACTTAACATGTCTGAGATTGTTTCTGTCCAAGTTTTATTTGATATCTTATCCCTGTTCAGATTAATGAAATATATATTCAACCTCCAGTGGAAAAAGTTTTTGTTTGACACACAGACAGGAACTAAGTCTGTTTCTTACTTAGAACTGTTAATAAAAAACACAGTGGTTGTTTATGATAATATTTGTTTTACCATGTATGTTGAACTGTCTGTGCAGCTATGGATGACTCCCTGAGTGAGTGCTCCTTTGGAAGCAGAGCTGACCTAGACCGTCTGCACGATGGCCCAGTCCCGTCCTGGATTCAGGAGGGGGAGTTTGTGACTGTCACTTCCTCTCGTGTGGGGCCCAAGACAGGGGTGGTACGCTTTGTGGGGAACGTGGAGTTTGCAGCGGGTCCCTGGATCGGGGTGGAACTGGATCTGCCTGAAGGTGAGCTTCATCTCAGATGAGCTTTAGATAAGGATGCTGTCATATGGAAACCACTGTGGGGCATTTATTTATCAGATTACCAGTTTTGTGTATCGGAGAAATGAGAAGATCCCTGTCAAAGTTCATGGTTTTCTTGATTTAACTCACCTGGACTGTCAGGAAGGTGCTTAAACTTACTGCTTATCATGTTTCTTGTCAGACATGTTTGGCTCACTTCCTCTGACAACAGGTATTAATTTTTTTGAATTGTTGCTTGTGAATTACTGACACTTTACAGTACAGTTATCACACAATGTATCATTTGTCCTTTTTCTCCAGGTAAAAATGACGGCTCTGTGAATGGTGTTCGATACTTCAAATGCCGTCACCGACATGGTGTCTTTGTCCGAACAGAGAAACTTATCTGGGACAAGAAGAGGAAAGGGTCAAGGAAGAGTCTGTCCTCAAGTCGTCGGAGCTTAGTGGGATCGTCCAGCAACTTGTCGCATTCATCTTCTAACATTTCCCAGCAGTCCAGTGCAGGGGGGTCGTACATGCGAGCCACTTCCGCCAGCCATGCCAAGAAAAAATGAGCTGATGTTTATGCTGACTTTGCATCATTTCTTATCTCCATAATAAATAGATAACGTTGACATATCATTGCAAAACCCATACCCTTCAGGAACTAGTGCGTCGCAGGGGAGGTATAGAGACGACATAAGTCAGCCTCTATGTACATACATAGTCAGTCAGAGTTGATTTTACAGATTTACAAATTTCATCTTTGAAGGGAACTGACTTTGGGTTAGGATTTGCCCAAGTTGTAGATGTACTAAATGGCTATCGTCATTTCTTGTTTCCTGTCTCATTGAATATAGTCCATAAATTAGTCCTGAAACTGCTTCAGACTTTGGTGAACTCCAGTCAATACTGTTAGTTCTCTCACTTTCAGTTGGCATATATATATATATATACATAGTTGAACATAGTTGTTGTGATTTGTTAAAACTTTTAGCTGCCATTTGTATATTTGAGACTGATGTGCATATTGCTATGTATAGTTGAATCTGTTTATCTGTATTGTGATAAGAACAAGCTTTATCATCAAGCTTTTCCTGTTGTGAAATAGAAGATGGTTGTTTGTGATTCATTTGCAGAGATTTGTCACTTTTCTTATGTTACCAATGATGCATGATACGTCCTTTATAGGACTCTTCATAATCAGATGCAGATGACCATAATCCTTGACTTGTCAGTGACAACCCTTGGCACAAGTGGGCATGGATTACCTGCCCTTAGTTTCAACCTCTTGGGTTGTCCCCCTTTATCATCACTTCTGTGAAGGTTCTCACAGCTTGGCAAGACTGTTTAATTTTGAAGATGTTACATTAAGTTTGCAGTTTGAAATGAAATTCAGTTGTTTGCATGGATGGAACTGGCTTGATCAACAGAATGTGAATGTGCAACAGAACGTGGCTGATCAAGAGAATGTGATTGAAGTGAACAGAATGTTCAAACAGACGAACACAGAGTCAAATTGTCGGAACTTCTTCATAATCCAGAGATAATTCAGAAATAAGCTGAGTATTTGAAAGAGGACCACTTGCTGAATGTGGAGTCACATGTCCCACTCCAAGATCAAAATGGAAGCCTGTGACAAACAAGAACAGATGAGACATAAGTTTTGCCAGATTTTTACTGGTGTTTGTTTACTAGTATTTGTTATGATATTGTCTGACTACGTTAAAAGACTCAGTAAGTGTTGTTGCTGTTGGAGATCCACCCACTGAGGGGCCTGGCCAACATCTGGACTTCCTGTACACATTAGTGTTACAATGTTTGAGATGGACGTAAGAAGGAAGATTCTGTCACAAGACTGACACAAGATGGATTACAGAAGAAGTTGATGAATAACTTGTTAATTTCTACCAAGTTTGCCAAGAATTTCTTGAAAATATTTCATCAGTTTGTTGGAGATGCGAAGAGAGCAGTTGCTACAATCTTTTATGTGTGACATCAGAAGTCCAGCCCCAGAAACCATAATAGCCTTGAGTTGTGGAAGGTCATGATATTATCGTGAGAGACAGATCCAACTGTGACAAAGATTCCTGTCTACGTTGTGGAGTCCCTGACAAGCTACACTGATGGCTGCTTCCTCTTCTGCATAATACACACAGCATCTGTCACGGGAAACCGCTCAGCTAAACAGAATCATTCCCAGCATTGTCGGTGTTGAATCACCATGGAAACAAGAAGGAGTATTAGCTTTCGTTATTTCGAATGCTTCTTCTATCTGTTCAAGGTATGGTGGTAACCCTGCAGGCGACATCTGTTAGGGCAACATCAGGTAGAAGCTTAGTGCTATTGAAGACAGAATCAAATTAACCTGAATCTACAAGAACATACTGCTTATGAAAGATTGACATGACTGTGTCTTCATGGTAGAAGCTACAAGAGTAGTTCTATCGTAGGCGGTTTGCCACAAGAGTGCTAGAAGAATATTGTCCGAGCAGTTTGATCTCATGTAAGCTGACTGTTGTGTAGTTAATGGATGAGGGTAGCCAAGATATGAAGGAGGACAAGGCAATCAAAGCTCACAGTAGTGCAATGGTGTAAATAATGGCAACTTTTACATACAACTTTATTTATTTGAATATTTGTAATTATATACATTCAAGATAGATGTTATTGCTCAAGAATATAGTCATGATACATACTTTCTTTTTCCTTCAGATTAGTTAAGTCAAACTATGCCACTGAATTTTTAAACCAACCTGTGAATGTTTATGTAGATATAGGTGTATACAGTAGTGCCTCCGTTACTGTCTGACATCATAGTGCTGTTGCCTCTGGTGGGGGCAATGCCCTTGTCTCACACTGACCCAATATGTGCCCAGGCCTAATGACCCAAATCCACATTGATCATATACAACCAAGTACAGGGTGCTGGGGAGTAACAATTCATTGAACCGTGATTATCATCATTATCCATGGCAGATATCAGTATATAGCTGCAGATATCTTCTGTTAACATGGATGCCAACCAAGCCATGTTGACACATGTAATTAATTCTGTTAATCATTTATTGGTTTAATTATTGTTGTACCTTGTTTGAAGAGACAGGTATCTAGTCAGATGACATAACCTAAAGTACACCATATTTACTATATACACCTACAGTTTCTCCTGTGAATCTAGAGCACTTTCCAAATAGTCTGGGGATTGTGGAGGAGCTTCATGGTCAAAACATTCGACATCACGCTGCTGGCCCAGGTTGTGTACAATGTATGGAACCCATTGTTGGTGTCTCTGCTGTGATATTGCTGGAATATTGCTGAACACTCTCACTCACTCACCCACTCACTGCTGAATCTAGGACTTGGCAATTGCATCATTTTGTCATGTGAAATAATGGATGGAAATCTTCATTGAAGCACATTTTCAAATGCTTGTCAAACTATCGCAGTGCTATGGCAATAGTGACCTCAATAATCCCCCTATTGTGGACTTGACAGACCCATGAAGACATGTTACTCCACACTAGATGTGAACATATTTGCTTATCTGTATGCTAATTCAACTGATACATTCAACTTCATAACTAATACTTCTTTGGTAAAGTATAATACGACATCATATTTCAGTTAAAGACTACAGGGTATAATGAAAGCAGTTTCATGAAAGCTGACAAAATGGCTGGATTCACAGCTGTGATCTCAAAGAAATATACCAAATAAGAAAATCTGTAGTGTATCTGAATCTGTTTAGTTTGAATATTTTGAAGATGTACAAAGTTATACCAGTAGGTAGGTACATCATGAAATCAAATCTGCAACTCCCCACCACAATACCGAAATAGCTTCATTCACTAGCCACACAATGTTGAACAGTTTATATGTGATAATATATTGATTTGTAATAATAATTTATCCTGCCTGTGCTATGATGAGGAACAGTGTACAAACAGCACTGCCCGGCATATACATGTATATATATATACTATAGGATGATGGTGTCATACTTGTTTTTCCATACTGTACAATGTATAAACCCCTAGTCCTACCTTCATCTTCACACACATCCATCAATTGTTGAAGTTTTAAAAAAAAAAAGACAAGCCCATGAAATGGAGATACTTCTCTTGTCCATTTAAGCCTATATTAAAACGTTTACATCATTCCAAAGTTTAATTTGGTCAAAGTTAAATGGTGCTTGCTACTATCTTAACATTGCAGGATAACACTGATATTATTGCCAAGTTGGCCAGCTCTAGTGTGTATTTACTAGAAAATATCAGCATCTGTTTATGTAGCCAAATCTGCTGTTGCAGATTTTAAGGCATAGCTGCCTGCTGATTCTGCTTAGTCAGTGTTCACCAGTACAGGACCTTGATGCATTTAATTACTGTGTTGTTATTGTATTTCTGTGTATCATCCTCTTTAATTGTGCACATTTGATTATCAGATACACGTTTGAATCATTTATTGTCCTCATACAACAACCTCTATATATGAAGACAGATGCACCTTTGTTTTCTCTTCTTTAAGATGTCTTAAAGTATGTTCTGGTAGTCTTGTGGCTGACTCCACTTGCTGTTGATATTGCTCTAATGATGCCATAGAAATTATGTCTGTTACCAATTTTCAAGATGCTCGTCAATTGTGTTAATGTGATAGGACATAGGCTGTTTCCTTGTCCTCTCCCTGTGACCTGACAACTGGTCAAGACATAGATGTATGATATTAAGCAAATAACTGCTTATTGTAAATTTTCATTGATAATGATATGATTGCACAAGCCTGTTGTATAGGAACAGTTCACTGGAACATCAAATTGATTCTGCAAATGACGCTAATAAATCATGATGCAATTAGTTTGATAATAATAAACAGAATAATTGTACATATTCTTCCCAAAGAAGAATATTCTACCCAGAATTCTGTTGAACATCCGGCCTGTTGTTCATGTTTCAGTCAATGCTTTGTGGTTTGATCTCTTGAGAACATTTTGATTATTTTCCAAAAGATCTAGATACAGATTGTAAAGTTACTGAGTCTGTTTATGTGTTTTGTTGGTCTTATTGTCCAAGCATGGAGAGGCTTGTACATACACAGCCAGCGACAGGCTGTCAACTCAACACAGCAGTAGCAGACTATCCTGTGGACAGAAACATTGTTATATTTTACGTGCCATGTACAATGAGTACATGAGGCCCATACATCTCTATTTTAGAAACATTTGTGAGATTTCTTGTTGATCTCAGTGAAGTCTATGTGTTTTTGTTATCATATTCCCAGTCCATTCCATAATTACCCATACCTCAACATGATTACAGTCAGCCAGTCAGTGTGTTCCCAGACTCCCGGGTCATTCACAGTCATCAGTAACTCACTGGATTATGTCCTCATACCATCATCAGATTCTAAAACACGAACATACATGTGCCACAGTTGTCGGCTAGTTTTGGATTAATGTTGACATTGATATGTTGTTTACAGTTAATGAGCAGGAACAATAACGGAATGTTGTGATTCTTGGCAATGATCAAAATAATATGGACAGACAGATCACTGAGGGCATAAGATGCGTACATAGAAATGCTAGCATACTGGAAGACTAGTCAGAGTGGCTGCTGGGTAATTTGTGACTGGCTCCAGCTGTCTGTATTTTTGTCAATGTTTGTGATTCACCATGTGCTTGTGTTGTGCTCATCCTTCCCTCTCATATCCAGTCACAGAAACTGTCACAGAACTGTCACGGAACAAGCTATGGAAGCATAATGGGCTCACACTAAAAACTTCTAGTTGAACACTATGTATATAAATATGGCCAATGGAATTTAGATTTTATATTTTTATGGAAAAAATGAAATTTAGTGTAAACTGTTAAAATTGCTTGAGTTAGGATAGATTGAAATGTTTCATGACTCTGCAAGGAGTTCACATTTGTTTAGATACGAGCTTGTGTGGCACATCATCGTCCTGGCAGATTCCGAGGATGGCGTGGCATGTCACTGTGTGACTTGATATGGGGGGCTTCACCAGGGCTGTTGTGAGTTTTGTCAGTAGCATCCATGATGATCGTTAGTCTGCCCCACAAAGGGGAACTGGTACTGTCATGCGCAGAGGGCATTGCTGTGTTGCTATGGAGATGAGTGGCTGTTTCTGTACGATTCTGCCCAGAATAGTAGCCTTTGTGGGTACTACCCAAAATTTGGGCCCTGTCATATCACTGCTTTGAAAATAAATAAGTACTGACACTTCACCATGCCTTCACATTTGTTCTTGGAAATCAGATTCATATGAGAACAGTTCTTGGATAAAATGGGTGGTGCACCAGATGATATCGTCAGCTGCCTGCAAAGACATATAAGAACTGGAACAGGCACACCAGCATGCAAGATTTTGGGACTGAACCAATTCTCTGGGGTGCAGTGACTGGACATTATGATCACTGAGCCATATCTTAGGGATGCCCTGTGAGAGTGGGTAGACATTATGAGCACTGAGCCATATCTTAGGGATGCCCTGTGAGAGTGGGTAGACATTATGAGCACTGAGCCATATCTTAGGGGTGCCCTGTGAGAGTGGGTAGACATTATGAGCACTGAGCCATATCTTAGGGGTGCCCTGTGAGAGTGGGTAGACATTATGAGCACTGAGCCATATCTTAGGGGTGCCCTGTGAGAGTGGGTAGACATTATGAGCACTGAGCCATATCTTAGGGGTGCCCTGTGAGAGTGGGTAGACATTATGAGCACTGAGCCATATCTTAGGGGTGCCCTGTGAGAGTGGGTAGACATTATGAGCCCTGTGAGAGTGGGTAGACATTATGAGCACTGAGCATATCTTAGGGGTGCCCTGTGAGAGTGGGTAGACATTATGAGCACTGAGCCATATCTTAGGGGTGCCCTGTGAGAGTGGGTAGACATTATGAGCACTGAGACATATCTTAGGGGGTGCCCTGTGAGAGTGGGTAGACATTATGAGCACTGAGACCCTGTGATGGGTAGACATTATGAGCACTGAGAGTGGGTAGACATTATGAGCACTGAGCCATATCTTATCTTAGGGGTGCCCTGTGAGGTGCCCTGTGAGAGTGGGTAGACATTATGAGCACTGAGCCATATCTTAGGGGTGCCCTGTGAGAGTGGGTAGACATTATGAGCACTGAGCCATATCTTAGGGGTGCCCTGTGAGAGTGGGTAGACATTATGAGCACTGAGCCATATCTTAGGGGTGCCCTGTGAGAGTGGGTAGACATTATGAGCACTGAGCCATATCTTAGGGGTGCCCTGTGAGAGTGGGTAGACATTATGATCACTGAGCCATATCTTAGGGGTGCCCTGTGAGAGTGGGTGGGTAGACATTATGATCACTGAGACATTATGAGATCACTGAGAGTGGGTGAACACTGAGCCATATCTTAGGGGTGCCCTGTGAGAGTGGGTAGACATTATGAGCACTGAGCCATATCTTAGGGGTGCCCTGTGAGAGTGGGTAGACATTATGAGCACTGAGACATATCTTAGGGGTGCCCTGTGAGAGTGGGTAGACATTATGAGCACTGAGACATATCTTAGGGGTGCCCTGTGAGAGTGGGTAGACATTATGAGCACTGAGCCATATCTTAGGGGTGCCCTGTGAGAGTGGGTAGACATTATGAGCACTGAGCCATATCTTAGGGGTGCCCTGTGAGAGTGGGTAGTGAACATTATGAGCACTGAGCCATATCTTAGGGGTGCCCTGTGAGAGTGAGGAGCAGTAGACATGAGCACTGAGGTAGACATTATGATCACTGAGCCATATCTTAGGGGTGCCCTGTGAGAGTGGGTAGACATTATGAGCACTGAGCCATATCTTAGGGGTGCCCTGTGAGAGTGGGTAGACATTATGAGCACTGAGCCATATCTTAGGGGTGCCCTGTGAGAGTGGGTAGACATTATGAGCACTGAGACATATCTTAGGGGTGCCCTGTGAGAGTGGGTAGACATTATGATCACTGAGACATATCTTAGGGGTGCCCTGTGAGAGTGGGTAGACATTATGATCACTGAGCCGTATCTTAGAATGAGTGAGTTGAGTTGTATGCCGCACTCAGCAATACCCCAACTACATGGCGGCGGTCTGTAAATAATCGAGTCTGCACTAGACAATCAAGTGATCAACAGCATGAGCATTTATCTACGCAAATGGGATACGATGACATGTGTCAACCAAGTCAGAGCCTGAACACCGGATCCCGTTTGTCGCCTCTTATGACAAGCATGGGTTACTGAAGATCAATTCTAACCCGGATCTTCACGGGTCCATATCTTAGGGGTGCAGTGTGTGAGTGACATTATGAGCACTGAGAGATATCTTGCCGTCAGTGGATAGGTGGGTTGGCAGTGTGAGTACTGAGCCCTATTTGTGGGATGCAGTCAGTTAATTTGTGGGTTTAAGAACACTGAACACACATCTAAGGGAGAGGTCAATAAGTGGGGGAGTGAGGGGAAAGTGTGAGCACTGAACTACATCCTAAGGGGTGTGCTGAGTGAATCAGAACGATTCAAGACTGGCCGACTTGCTGGTTTCCCCTTACATCAACACTGGGCGGTGTACCAGTGACAGTCTAGATAGCAAACACACTGATTAATTACAGAATCAGAAATGGGGGACTCTTATTAAAACAAAACACAAGTTAAATCTTTTTTGAGCAATCAAGAGATAGGCAACTTAGAATTCTTACAAAATTAATTACAGGGAAATGACCTACTCCTGCCCTGTTGTTTTGTTATAGTACACATACACAAGATAATTCTGACAGTCATGTAAATGTCCGATCTTTGTAATGGGGTACTCGTATATATTACATACAGACTGGGCACAAGGGTATCAGGGGGCGCATGCTAAGGCAGAGTTAATACAATAACGGAGGTACTTTTCACAGTGGCATTATACATAGTCGCACCCTCTCTCTTGTGTACAAGGAGGTGAGGTGAAATTGGGTTTAACGTCGTGCTTGAGAATATTTCGCTCATATGACGACGTGCATGCGTGTGTATGTGTATGTGCGGCTGCTTGTACCAGCCCAGACTTAAGCTGGTTTTATAGTGCTAGCCCACTGAGATACCATGCCGCAGTGAAGCATGAATACCCCACTCAGACACATTATACTGACTCCGAGCCGACCAGTCCTTGTTGTACCCATTAATGCCGAGCGCCAGGCAGGGACCAACAAGTACCATATTTTAACGTCTTTTGGTATGACGCGGTCGGGGATCGAACCCGCGACCTTCCGCTCTCCGGGCGGACGCTCTAACCACTACACCACGGAGGCGGTCCTTGTGTACAAGGAGACAGTCTGCCGTCACAAAGACTTGTAAACGTTCTGTGATGCCCCGGTGTGTGCAGGGATGTACAAAACATGTACCTTGACCTGCACTCCTAGAATCTGTTCTTTCAAAGGAACTAGCACAACAGGCATTTCACGGTAAATTGGCATACTTAAAAATTAATTGCATATGGTGAATGGTTTCTGCATATGTAATCAAACGCCTCATTCCAATATGATTTATTCATATGTTTTTGAACATGAAGACCCACTTGCACAAAGCCACCAAACCATTACATTTGGTATAACTCAAGTTCTTTAATATTAACGGGTCTAGACCTTTGATTGGTTCGTGGCAGTGGTCCCGAGGACATTCTTTGGAGCGTAGTCAAACCTGGGCACATTTGAAAATAGATATGACTGTAGTTGAAGCTACAATATTTCGTGAACATCCAAGAAACAGAGCGATTAAAAAACGCAGTGTTAAATTCTTTGACATCATGTACCTGCAGAGCGACAAAGAGACTACTTTAGTAGAATCTTGTACTTTCGGAATATGCATTTACGAGTGCTTCGGCCACTAAACACTTGCGCGCTGTCTTCGAATCATAGAAGGGTCCGTAAAATATAAACGTGAGCCAGGGTCGGCGGTTACATTTCAAGCCAAGTGCCTTCAAACGAAGCATTTCTGGTGTCCCCCGCTGTGATATTGCTTGAATAGTGCTAAAAGCGGCGTAAAAGTAAACTCACTCACTCACTCAAACAAAGCCTGACTGTAGTGAGTGAGTGAGTGAGTTTAGTTTTACGCCACACTCAGCAATATTCCAGCTATATGGCGGCGGTCTGTAAATAATCGAGTCTGGACCAGACAACCCAGTGATGAACAGCATGAGCATCGATCTGCGCAATTGGGAACCGATGACATGTGTCAACCAAGTCAGCGGCCTGACTGTAGTATTTGGAGGGAAGGCAGTGCACCACCTCCTCGTCTCCCACCTGGAGGAAGGCAGTGCACCACCTCCTCGTCTCCCATCTGGAGGAAGGCAGTGCACCACCTCCTCGTCTCCCACCTGGAGGAAGGCAGTGCACCACCTCCTCGTCTCCCACCTGGAGGAAGGCAGTGCACCACCTCCTCGTCGCCCACCTGGAGGAAGGCAGTGCACCACCTCCTCGTCGCCCACCTGGAGGAAGGCAGTGCACCACCTCTTCGTCTCCCACCTGGAGGAAGGCAGTGCACCACTATCTAGTCTCCCACCTGGAGGAAGGCAGTGCACCACCTCCTCGTCTCCCGCCTGGGGAAGGCAGTGCACCACCTCCTCGTCTCCCACCTGGGGAAGGCAGTGCACCACCTCCTCGTCTCCCACCTGGAGGAAGGCAGTGCACCACCTCCTCGTCTCCCACCTGGAGGAAGGCAGTGCACCACTATCTAGTCTCCCACCTGGAGGAACGCAGTGCACCACCTCCCTCGTCTCCCGCCTGGAAGGCAGTGCACCACCTCCTCGTCTCCCACCTGGAGGAGGCAGTGCACCACCTCCTCGTCTCCCAGTGCACCACTATCTAGTCTCCCAGCTGGAGGAAGGCAGTGCACCACCTCCTCGTCTCCCACCTGGAGGAAGGCAGTGCACCACTACCTCGTCTCCCACCTGGAGGAAGGCAGTGCACCACCTCCTCGTCTCCCACCTGGAGGAAGGCATTATTACAATACTACGTCGCCTCCTACTAAGTCCATGACTATAACCAGGAACACGACTCGTCTAAATGCTTCCTCTGTCTCGTACAGGAACACAGGACCTGAAACAACTGCTGGACCCATGTCGTTTCTGTGATGTTCTAACGTTAACACAGTATTTTGAGCAGATATTTCTCGAATCAGTTTATTGATGAAGTGTGGATATATTGTTTTCGCCAACTGCATGTTGAACATAAGGACCTATACGGTGCCATCTTTACACACAACTGCCTGTTGAACATAAGGACCTATACGGTGCCATCTTTACACAACTGCATGTTGAACATAAGGACCTATACGCCAACTGAACATGGACCTTGCCATATTTACATAAACATAAGGACCTATACGGTGCCATATTTACACACAACTGCATGTTGAACATAAGGACCTATACGGTGCCATATTTACACACAAATCCGAGAAGACACAGTCGCCACAGTGACCCTGCAGATAATCCCTTCCACCCCTTGGGGGGCTTCCGTGACCCCAGGTTGAAAGATACCATAAAACATTATCGTGACGAAAATAGATCTGTCAACAGTCATAAACTGCTCGAACCTTAAACAATGCTATTGTCAAGGAGTATCGCGTACTTGTTGTGTAAGCTGATGTAATCGACTGTCATATATTACATAACATGGGCTCAGAGCGCAGCACTTGAGCTACCCCGGAACTCATTGTCGCTTAATGGAATAATAATCATAAATTCAATGCACTATTAGAAAGCAGTATACGGTGATTGAATCTGTTAGTTAATGAAACGCTGTAACGACATATTAACCAGCACGTGGTTAATTGAAGCAAACATCAATCATTTCGCTTAGAGCAAGAACAAATTGTAAATTTTATAATAAATTGTATATTTATATACTTATCTTATCTCACGCGATGGATACCGTGAGAAAGGATAAGTTTAAAAATTTGTAAATTTTATAATAAATTGTATATTTATATACTTTTCCTATCCCACGGTATCCATCGCGTGAGATAGGATAAGTTTAAAAATTGAGATAATCGCGACTAAGGGGCCTAGAGAGAAGGAGTATAAGAAAACAACAAAAACTCTCTCTCTCTCTCTCTCTCTCTCTCTCTCTCTCTCTCTCTCTCTCTCTCTCTCTCTCTCTCTCTCTCCTCTCTCTCTCTCTCTCTCTCTCTCACACACACACACATACACACACACACACACACACACTGAACCTGTTTACACTCGGCGACTGTGAATATAAATATATAAATATATAAATATATAAATATATAAATTCAAGTAATTATTATACAAATATATTTGCGCAAAACAAATATTACAATGTCACTAAGATCATTTCCGCCATTCGGATCACTTAAAGACACAGATTCGGAAAATGTGTACAAATTACTTATGACATATTCTTTCCAGGTTTGAACATCCCAGACAATTCGAGACATAGAATATGAATCGTTTGTTTCCTCGCCTGTTTTTTCAAATGTAGGACTGATAAACAAACCCGGAAACTCACAGCGTTGACCCCGGGCCTACAGACAACATGCCCCTGGGATGATTCACGGCATGAAGAAACGATTCTTGTTGAAAAAACGATAAAACATTTTCACAATCATTAAAATATTTTTATTTTTATTATTCCAATCATATAATTAGCATGTAATGAATCGCTGTCAAACTGTGATTATACCAGGTGTTAACCAAAGGACAGCGTGTCCTGCCCAGCCCAATTAATTAAATGTGTGTGTCCTTGAGCACCGATATCTCTTTATTTCAAGCACCCACGTCAAAAAGAAGCATGATAATTATTTATGACTGTAGACCAACTGATCATAATACCGCCAATCATTGCTTTTAAAAACATTCATTGGAAGTAATAACAGTGAGTGAATGAGTGAGTGAGTTAGTGAGAGAGTTTTACGCCGCTTTTAGCAATATTCCAGCAATATCACGGCGCGGGTCACCAGAAATGGGCTTCACACATTGTACCCATGTGGGGAATTGAACCCGGGTTTTCGGCGTGACGAGCGAACCCTTTAACCACTAGGCTACCCCATCGCCCCGGAAGTAATAACAACAGTTTACAATGGCGTCCAATATTTTATAAGGATTAATGTTGGGGGTTTTAGTTTGGCACCATACTAACCATGGCACCAGTGCCATATAGCGGTATATGGTCTCTGATGGCAGTCATGATTCTTCTGACAACCGATCATAACGCTGATAGTTCGTGATCCCCTACTTGTTTGAAAGAATATATATTACAGCTCCGTGTATACACACCTAAATTACTGACTGTGCTGTAACTGGCAACATAATATAGGGTCTAGGACAAAAGCCACCCGTACAAATGTCACCCGGACAAAAACCACCCGGACAAAAGCCACCTTGGACAAATGCGACCCAAATAAAAATAAAAACCACCTACACAATATTCCAGATGTTTTTCCATGATATTTCATTTTCCTTTACACAGCAAAGAACAAAATTACATTTGTTTTCATTAATCCTCCTTACTTCCATCTTAGCAAAACATCTCATGTTAACGCTACTTCAACAGGCTAAGTAGTTTTGTCATTACTCACTACTTAAATTCGGAATACAACCTCCTCCCTTCAGGCCGCCGCTACAAAGTTCCAATTGTGAAAACTAAGAGAGCCCGTACATCCTTTAATCCAAGTACCATATCTCTCTTAAACAAATGTGAAGATACCTAAATCAAAGAATTTATTTAATTTATATGTTTGGTATCTCTCTAATGTGTCAGTAGCTCTGCTGATGTAACACAAATTCCTGAAAAGGCATTAAAGTATTATTCTATTCTATTCCATTCTATTCTATGTACCTGTTATTTTGTCTATTTCGTAAATCAAATTCTACATCCATTTACGTTAACATTGTTATAAAGTCAACATTACTATGAAATCCAAATTTTACATAAAAATCAACATCTTTATCTAAGTGAACATTTTTTTAAAAGAAACCAAATTATTCATCAAAGTCTACATAATTTTATAACAAAATCAACACTAGCATATGTTGAGGAACTTACTATCCATCTGAATAATACTTCAGAATTTCTATACCATAGAGCGATATTATTCTCAAGTGTGGTCAGTTAACTATCGTCATGTGAAGGATCTTGATGGTTCAACCTGACAACTCGGCTTGGGCTTCTAAAACATTATCACAGAGAAACAAAACGTTTCTTGTCTACAAGCTTCATTACGATTTGTACCGCTGTCATATAGCTGGAATATTGCTGAGTGCGGCGTAAAACTAAATTCACTCACTCACTCACTCATTACGATTTGTTTGTTCCTGTATTGTTTGGTGCCGCACTCACCGATATTCCAGTTATATGACTGTGGTCCGTGAATAACCGAGCCTGCTTCAGACGAACCGGTGATCGACATCATGAGCATCGATCTTTGAAATTGGGACAAGATGACATGTATAAACAGGTCAGCGAGCCTGACCACCCAAGCCGGTATAGTCGCCTCTTTAGACGAGTCTTCAAGGGTAGCCTACTTTTAAATGATGAAAATCCATTGAGTAAAGTGACGATGTGGGGTTTTTTTCAAGCTTGCAATCCACGTACACACCATCAGATTATAAGGTAACATTAAGGACGGAATTTAGTTTATTTTTGCCAAGTCGAGAAATGTTAATTTCAAAAGGATTTTATATCAGGAGTGTGTATGTCACTGGGAGGTTGTATCCGCCTCCACCCAAGTCTTCCTTGTGGCCAGAACTGAAACTCCAATAATATTTCCTTGATATTGTAGCCCTTAAAAAAACTTTTCAATTTGTTTGAACAGATTCAAACTTTTGCTAACGCTAGTCATTCATGCCAGATTCGCAGGGGATCCTAGATACACACTAATTCATGAAAGCTGTTATAATATTAAAGTATACTGTTAGATCTTATTGTACTCATATGTATTTGAGTGGAAGATTTTATCAAAACTAATCTATCCCAGAAAATGCTTGAAAAATAATTAATGGCCCTGACTGCGAGGGAAAATGTTGTGAAAATGACCACAATTAATTGTTTGGGTTTTTAAATTTTTAGGTACATCAATTATAAAGGTACCTCATCTTGCAGCTGCAGCTGAAGAAATGTGAACGACATAGGTTGTCGGAGATCCACTCTAACCCGGATAGTTATATAGTTGTTTTATTTAACGTCGCACGCACAACTAAGGTATTTCGGTGACGGGGTAGTACACTTAGTATGAAATGAGGGGGAACAGAAAATATACATTTTGAAAGAGTGGTGTTACTACCCAAACAAAGACAACACACACACACAAAAACAACAACAAAAAAACCAAAAACCAACTGACTATTAACTTAGTATTGAGGGGACTTAAATGAGCGGCCATAATAGGTAGGTAAAAATTATGAAATAGGTAAAGAGTATAATAGCGATTTGGAATTTAATATAGATGTAGTATAATAAATGGTTATTGTTATTGTTTAAAAACATATTTATTAAGTGAATAATGATGAACATATAAAAGATTAAAAAATGAAGTTGATAAAAGGAGAGAACTAACCCGGATCATTTCAGGGATGTGATTTATGTAATGGTGTGGCGAACGTGATACCATTTCGAATTTGATGTGCTTTATTTCTCTTAACTGCAGGCCGTTCACCCAATGTACAGAATACACAAGGACTACAGTGGGTGAGTGGTGAGCGTTCTTTTTAACAACGCATGGTAAACGAACAATGCAAGGTTACATAATAAGAATACGAGAGGTTTGCTTGGATGGACGATAAGTAAACTTAGGTGGAATGTAGCGCTGTCTCAACTCTGAGTAATACTCACATACCAAAAGAACACGATATTCATCTTCAGCAGCATTGCAACTACAGAATTTACATATATTTTCAACTGCATTAAATATTCCTTTGTAAAACATAAATTATAACAACCACGGAACTGGGTTTATGATGTTCTTACTGAATCATGTTTATACAATAGAAGTTCTTTTTACAAATAAATTGTTCCTTGAATAGGTAACATGTACGAGCAAGTAGGCGCGCCAGTTCCTTGGAAACAGTCTTTACATCTCTGTAGTACAAGTGACAGGCATATGGCTTTGTTTCCGACCCCTTGTTCAATCCCTGCAGAACCAGGTCTAGTTTATAGAGTGAGAGCTTTAACAGAGAAGCCCAAGTATTTCGGCTTCTAGCTTCACTTGCATTTTGGTCAACGTTATGTAGCATTTCATGTTTTCAGTGGGTTGAGATATGATTGCACGGATAAATGGTTTCCCCCATAAGACAGAACGTTTAACTGTATAAACATCTATTGGAAATCTGCCACATTCCCCCATTTTAGTTAGCGTTGATCTTCTTAGACCAATAAAACGTTTGAATGCAAGTAAATGAGATTTTTCTGTACAATTAAATTTACGAAGACCTCATATTTCACACCCATAGGTAATATGTTAGCATCAAATACTAAAGTACATATCATATACATGTAATGTAGATTCAAAGATTAAAAGACGTCTTCGGACGTGATATTAGTTATATTACCATTTATATTTACTTATATATTACCAAGTTGTCAGTTAATCTCTGCTTCACATGTTATCTACTGAACTATACTATTCACACTTTGCTAAGGATCAAATCGTGGATTCAACAGAAAACTATGATGTGGGGTCAAATTTAGGTTGAAATATCTAAGTTTATTGTAAGCATGTATTCTAGGTTTCAGTATGTCATTTCATCTTGTGGATCTCGTACCTGCTACTGACAGGTGTTGTCTACCTGTCGATGACTTGTTCTATAATTTGCAAAATAGCTGACTGGTGCCGTGAAAACCAGTTTTATTTTTATTTTTACTCATGTATCAGGTGCATAAGGTTAGATTAAAGTGAGTGTTTGCCTAAGGAGGGGCTACCATATTATTATTTACCCAGTTTTAAATGGATACAATTTCAAATTATAAATCTACGTTTCAGTAAAGTTGTGAATCTTTGTGATCCTTAGCCAAGTGTGAGTAGTATATTTTAAATTACATTAGTTTTGAAAATATAGTCATATGAATGGTCAGCATTAGTTGACAATTCTGATAACTTTCATAAAACAGTTTCCTACTCTGACATTATCCTTTTCTCGATGGACCAAAACAATGATCGTCGGTTGTCCTTAGATGTCGTGCACCTTGCCCGTGGCATTGCCAGTGTACCAGACGAGACCTTGAATACTCCGTGCACAACGAGAAGTAATTGCGTCATTCAGGGTGATCGTGCGAGTGTATAAGCCCTCTGATTACCGCACCATAAAACAATGTATGTGAAATGCAGAATTTTGTCTTTAGAGTAGGCCTATAAATTTAATGTTTAAATGTAGTTATTGCTGTGATCATGTTTTATATCTCCTAAAACTAGGTAGGTAAGGAAAACACGCAGTGACTGATCGGGGGCGAGGAGTCGTGCGCGTTAGCTTCTGGGGGTAACACCTCCCAATGTACTTATCTGAAGACATTTTTTGTGTTCATTGCCTGCAATAAAAACATATTGATTCGGTACTTCAAGTGTAATTAATATTAATATTTTCTAATTGCCCAAATGGACATCCTCGACCCCTATGTTTAACACCGCGTGCATGTTTGTTTCGGGGACTGATGCAAATAGGGTGATGATGATTATGATTATGCTCTTTCCGACATAATGCGTATATCGCACGCGGTGTTAAACATAGGTGTCGAGGATGTATAGATAGCCAGAATAGAAATAAAACACCTGAAAATTCCAGTTTATTCAAACAGATGGGCAAGTCATTAATAATGTTTACAAAGTTTCTGTAAAAATAATCATATCAGGTCGAGAAAATCCCTACAGTATGGAATAAATTGATTTGCTATATATAGCTAGGCTATTATATTTTATGAAAACCCATATCGCCTGAACGCGAGGCTATATTTTTAACACATTCCCAGCTGTCTATTTTATTCGTTCTACCACTGCTTCCATATTTTGATCTGTCCAGTTTCAGTAGGTCAGTTATTGTATGACAAACACGTGGTAAACGAAAATGCGCAACACATATCCCTACACGCATGTCTGACGGAGCCCCCATCTGTTAAAACCCGGAAGCAACCTATTATGGAAAACGGCAACCACATGGCATAGTTGTGTTTCAGCGCAGTAGACCGAATGTTCTTGGGAGTCCGAGAAACAACCGACGACAACATATTCAGTTATGAAAAAGAAATCGTTCTTTATTTTATACATGTGATTGGTGTCATTTGTAATGATGCTTTCTATTAAATAATTCTTAAATTTGGCTTTTATATGAATCATTATCTTTTTTTCAAAAACACCCAGAGCTATAGCTAATTGGTTTAATGCTAAAATATACAAGTCACGATATTAGAAACATTTCCTGCACAAGACAGTCTATTCAACTCCTCCTATGAAAAAGTATTTGAATTTTTTGCATTTTTCGCATTGTCTGATAAATCAAGGCGAAAATTACCCCTAATATACAGTATTGCTGAATCAAGTGTTACTATAGTTGACGCGTTTGCTGTCTTGCGATGCGAATGAGTACGTATTATAAGCAAATGAATATGAAACACTGTTTGTCCTATTAGCTCCAAAATGTTCTATTTCAACCAGATTTTAACTGAATGTTCACTTTACATCAGTTCGGGCACATCACCCTATATTTTCAGTCTTAAGCATTTACAAATGTCTTTTGGGTTTTTTAAATATTCTCCTTGATATGGTATTTCGGTCCTTCAAATTGCGACATTTATATTAAAACTTGTAAATGAATATGTCAACAGAATGCGTCTAGCAGCAAAAATAATGTAGTGGTTTACAATTCAGAAGAAGAACAGAGTTCATGATTTGAAAAACACCTAACTCGAAAACACTTCATTTATCTTCACGTGATACCACGTCACCAGGCGCGTAGTGATAATTATGTTAAGAAAATGCAATCCAGGAACATTTTTACATACACACAATAATATTACAGGTAAACATACATTTTGAATCTAGCATTGTTTCTCCCTATTTGTGGAAGTTTCGATCAGGGTGTGTCTCATCACAAATGAATTGGAGCAACGCTGATTGGTAGAACTACGTTTTGCTGCGGAGTAACTTCTGCTCGAGGACCTATATAAACGTAAATGTTCTGTCTGTTCGTCCCTCTTCTCAGGACATCAGTGGTGACGGAATCCCAAACACGTGCCGTGTTAGATTCCGTGTCACTCGTAAGATAGGAATAATTATTCTAAAAAATACCATAAAAAACATAAAACATTGAAAAAACAACCAAAAAAATCTGAAAAACTTATCTAAAAATACCAAAAAAAGTTATTGAAACGGCAGTTCCTGAGGCGACATACGGAGGAAGTCATCAACCAAGTATCCAAACCACATTGATTTTGAAGAACTACGAGAAAACAAACAAGCCAAGATGAATCCCGCAGGACCAAGCTATCCGATGGCATCCCTCTACGTTGGAGATCTCCACCCCGATGTCACCGAAGCCATGTTGTTCGAGAAATTCTCGACAGCAGGACCCGTGTTGTCCATTCGTGTATGTCGAGACATGATAACTCGACGATCACTTGGTTATGCTTATGTTAATTTTCAACAACCTGCTGACGGTAAGTGAAATATCAGTCGTGTGTGTATTCGTTTTAATTGCATATTGAAGTTGATGGCGTTTGAAAAGAAAATGCGCATCACGAGGTTTGGATTCAGGACACGTGTAGGCTGGGCCTACGTGTTTGTGAAGGCAGGCAACATGTTGAAACATTTCCTCACGCCCCTGGCACGTTTGCACGTTTACTTTCATCGTTAAAGACTGTATGGATGGTTGGAATTAGCGCTATCAACCTCAAGCTGTGTTTCCTTGTTAATCAAGGATTTGGCATTAACTTGTTTTCGTAATTACTCCCATAAATTTACATCCATGCACTTGGTGTTTTTAGCTGTAGTGTTGCCATTCATATTTAGATAAAATGTTGTGCATATCTCCTGTAATATCATTCTCAGCTGTTATTTGAATGTACCCATTAAAAAATCAGTAATGTTGCATTATACCAACAATGAATACAAGTTTTTTGAAGTCTAGTCATTTTTTTAATACCATGTTCATGTATTTTCTATGTATTTACAGCTGAAAGGGCTTTGGACACGATGAACTTTGATACTATCAAGGGTAGACCAATCAGAATAATGTGGTCTCAACGTGACCCTTCCTTGAGAAAGTCTGGCGTGGGCAATGTGTTCATCAAGAATTTGGACAAGAGCATTGACAACAAGGCTCTATACGATACTTTCTCAGCTTTTGGCAACATCCTGTCTTGTAAGGTATGTTAGACAAGATTATGTTGATCTTGACATTGGATTTTTGGGTAGTGGCAATTGACAAGGAATTTAATTGAATTCAATGATGTAAGACGATCTTTTTCGGTAAGAGTTCCTCCCGTTCCCCCATCCCTAATAATATTTATAAGTATACTGAAATTATTAACAAAACTTAACACAATTACTAGAGAACTCACAAAATGACTAAAAGTCCAAACTTTAAGTTAGGGTTAGGTTTAGAGTAAGGTTTAGGGTTGGGGGAACGGAAGGAGCTCTTTCCTCTTTCTTAGAGATATGACATGACTGTCTATATCGCTTTGTCCTAGCGGGTCCTTTGTCATATTTTTGTATAGTGGCCTTGGTGTATTGTTTCACACCTGATGTACACAACTAATCCACATTTGATTTCGATCGGTGCAAGCCTGACTTAACCACTAGCCCAAGACTATTGTCAAGTTAATTTTGTGTAGTAAGCTCAATTGTAAGTCTAAAAAGTACAATTATCTGATTTCCAACAATTGTTTATAGTCATTAATACTGACATTCCTTTAGTCTGTAGATTTTAAGTAAGGGCCCCAAATTTTGCTTTTGCAGATAGCTTCCGATGAAAATGGCTCCAAGGGTTATGGCTTTGTCCATTTTGAGACTGAAGAAGCAGCCAGACAGGCCATTGAGAAAGTTAATGGCATGTTGCTCAACGGCAAGAAAGTGTAAGTTTGTCTTAAACATAAACTGTCTTAACACAGGAAAATGTGTCATGGCTGGCTTTTGTTGCAAAAGTTTCATGAAACAGTGAGGTGAATGCAATCCTCTTTATGGATAGTACTTGCAACATTGGACATCTCTAGGGACGACCATCCTTGAGAAATGCTTATGCAGGTTAATCTGGTTGTATTTTCCACTCAGTGTCAAATTATCGAATGGCTTGTTAGACATGGTCACCCAGTCCTATGGTTTTCTATTTAAAGGAATGTTCCGTTTTTAGATAGTTTTGGCCATTATCAAATCCTTGGTGCACCTTGACAGTCTGTTACTCACCTGACATACAACTGTATGTTAGGAATCATAACTGCATCAAATTGTGTACATCTGTTAAGGTAGCCAAAGATGATATTGCTTGAAAACATGTTTAATGAAGGAAAATGTCACGCATGTTAGACAATGCCAACAAATGTGTGGCCAAGAAGCAGTCTGATCATCCGTGAAAACGAGTATCTGACCAAGACTGAAAGTTCGAAGCTTCAGAGAAATTGTTGAAGGCTGCTCAGTGGTGCAGATAATTTCTGTCAAACTGACATCTTCAACCCAATCACAAGGTATCTGCCTGTGAGGTCATAAGTCGTTTGTGAATGCTTCCGCAATGTGATGATTACACATCAAGCAGACATTTTAATGTCTCAGATGTTCACAAGGTCACTTTTGAGAGGTGAAGTAATGTCTCTGCAGTTAAGAGATAATGGTCTTGCTGTTTTGGAACAGTGTTGACCACCTGCATGTTCCTGGGAAGCTGATTCAGCCGTATTGTATTGATTCCATGCCATGCTCGTCACTTCGGTTGATACCAAAGATGTTTGCATTGTGTTGGTGACCCAAAAGTCACCAATCCTTACCTGTTTAGTTGTCAGATGACATCTTTGATACTGAGGAGCATGAGTGCATTCAGTTGCATTCAGTGGCCATGGTGCTGTCTAATAATGATGTGCAATGTTAGTCACAATAAATCCTAACACAGGTTTTCTCTTGCCCATTATTACATGTCTGTTCATACTTTGTGGAAGATCCTATGGGGTTAACCAATTATAATGCACTGGGAGATTTCGGTCTGGTTGCTTTTTGATCACATTGAATTGAAGGGGAATTGATGGACATCAACTTTGTAATATAATGAACATTTCAGAGTACATTACCTCATTACTTCATCAGGTGGAGGATTAAGGACATACTCTGAAACATTGTTCCTGATTACAGAAGTTCATACGTTCCTCATTTGCATATGAATACCATTCAAAGCCTTTAAACGTTTAGTTCTATGAATTAAATCAGTTCTGGTTTTGCATACATGAAATTAGTCTTTTTAGGCATGGTCTGACATTTCTGCATGCTAGTTTCAAAGGGACTCTAAATGGAACGTGAAGATACTTGTTTCTTTCCAGAAATGTTGGTTAGGGGTATTTTATGTCACCTGGAAATGCTACAGTCATGGTTTTAAACTGAGAATTCAAAAAGGTGCTTTCTAAAGAAAGGTTCTTGTGCATGAACTACAATTTTACATGTATAATGTAGTACATTTTGTACGCAAATGCATTTTAGCAGCTTTCCTTACTTTCTCACTCTTTTTAACAGGTATGTTGGCAAGTTCATCCCTAGGAAAGAGCGAATCGCCCTCCTTGGTGACAAGATGAAACGCTTCAACAATGTTTACATCAAGAACTTCGGAGATGAGTTAGATGATGACAAGATTAGGGAATTGTTTGATCCATTTGGCAAGATCATAAGTGCCAAGGTATGACCTTTTACAAAAACGCTCGGTTAATCTCAACATTTGATATGTTACAAGTCACCTGACGATAAATTCACCAAAGTTCGTAATGAATAGGCAAACTTTTGTCTGTAATTGTTTGAAATAGCTCAAGCAACATTTTGCTTCAGCTGGTAAATGATCACTAAATATAACCTATTTCCTACTGTGTGAAGGATATTCTGCATCCGCTTATTGAAGTTACATGACATAAACAGGTGTGCGTTTAACCTTTGGGAATCCATATTTGACTGAATTGAATGTTTGTTTGCAGGTTATGACTGATGAAATTGGCAAGTCTAGAGGGTTTGGTTTTGTTAGCTACGAAGAACCTGAGGCAGCTGAGAAGGTGTGTATTGTGTTAGTTGATAAGGAACACTTGATCTAACATTAAGCCAAATGTGTTTTTTTGGGGTGTTTTTTTTTTATATTATCAAGCTTTTGGATCACATTCTAATCATTGTTACACATTTTAGTGAAAAAACCCCATACTACCCCTTTTACTTAGTTGACTGAATAGTTAAATCTGTCTTTATATAATAAAGTTATGTTTGTTTGTTAGGCCGTAGACAACTTGAACGGCATGGAGCTTGGAGGGGGGAAGGTGTTGTATGCTGGGCGTGCACAAAAGAAAGCAGAACGTCAAGCTGAACTGAAGGACAAGTTTGAGAAGATCAAAATGGAGAGGATCAACCGATACCAAGGTGTGAATCTGTATGTAAAAAATCTGGATGATGTGGTTGATGACGAGAGACTTAGGAAGGAGTTCTCACAGTTTGGAACCATCACCAGTGCTAGAGTAAGTAAACTTTTGTTTTGTGGTAGAATTCATAAATGGTTGATATTGTATCATGCCCAGACACCCTGGTGTGTAGCTTTACCCAAATAGCTATTTGCCTCCTTAATACTGGGCAATATTGAACATCAGACAGGTGTATCCATATGGCACAGTTGCCATGAGAGGTTTCTGTGATCACTTGCCTGTACATTAGTAAAAGCTTCATTGAATTTCCAGCTGGTTTCTAACAAATTGGTTAATCTTTCCATGCTTTTATACTTTGATTTTTTTTCCACCTTGGAACAAAGATGCTGTATGGCTAATGTTGGTATTTTGTTTATAAATCTTTCTAGGTCATGAGTGAAGGTGGGCGGTCCAAAGGCTTCGGCTTTGTGTGCTTCAGCTCTCCAGAGGAGGCAACCAAGGCTGTGACGGAGATGAATGGTCGTATCATTGTGTCAAAACCTCTGTATGTGGCACTGGCCCAGCGCAAGGAGGACAGACGTGCTCACCTCGCCTCACAGTACATGCAGAGAATGACCACAATGAGACAACAGGTAAACATGGTTTTGCTACATAAACAATTACAGGTTATGTAAAGTCTTCAGTCATTTTGGATCAATGTCCAAGACAATGAATTGCTCGGAAAACATGACCATAGAACATCTTTCATCCTGATGACAGGAAACTGCTGTGCCTAGTTGTTTTGGCCATGGTACTACAGATCTTTCAACTGGTGTCCACAATCTGCAACACATAACTCTCCTTCTATAGTTGACACATTGAAAGTAATATAAAAAGTTCAGGTTCACAATAAGTTTTGATGTGGAATGTTTCGTTAAATATTTGTAATGATTTTCTTCTTCAGCAAACTGCACAGTTTAACCAGATGTTCCAGCCAACTGGAGCAGGTTACTTTGTGCCCACCATGCCCCAAGCCCAGCGTGGATTCTTTGCACCAACACAGATGCCCCAGGTCAGAGCCAGTCCCAGGTGGCAGACACAAGTCCGACCCACGCAGCCAACTGCTGGTGAGTTGAAATGTTTAGCCAGTTGACCCTTCTATTATAAAAAGCTTGTAGGAACATTTCTGAAGTCTTTTTTTTTCGTCCCTAAGAAATTGGGTATTTGTTAGACTAAACGTTAGTTATCCAGTTTTAAATGATGTAGCTGTTATAACTGTTACACAAGCAAGTGTACAATGTTCAATAAGACTGTTCACAGGAATTCTAATGAGTCACTTCTGAACTTTTCTATAGTTTGGGTTACATGGAAGTAGCCCCAGTTGTTTTGAAACATTTAAAGAAGTGCTGTAAATTAACTACCCTGCAAAAACTGACCTGTTGCTGTTTGCAGGTTTCCAAGGCATGCCTGCCAGTGGCCAGATGCGCACCAGTGCCCCACGAGCTGGTCAGCCAGCTGTCCGTGCAGGTGTCAATGCCCGGCCAATCACTGGACAGTCTGGTGCAGTGCCAACCAATCCCAATGCTCGCATGGCTGCGATGGGCCCCAGTATGGGCAACCGACCAACAGCTGCTGCTCCAGCGTTGCCCAACGCCCCCACCAGACAGGGATTCAAGTTCAACACCCAGATGCGCAATCCCCCAACAGCTGTACCACAGTCACAGGTCATGCAGCAGGTAGCTTTAAATTTCAGCTTGTCTTCATTTTTTATTGCACAAGAGTAGGCATCCTTCAAGTTTAAAGACTAAACTTCTAGGCTTTTAGAGTGATTTCAGTCAATCAGAACCTCAATTGGGTTCAAATGTAAGATTTGTTATCTTAGTGATAATTTGATTTGTTAGAGCCACATCGCTGCTTTTAGTAGTAATATTTGACCTACATGTCTTCAAGTGTCTGAAACATAGTTCAGTAGAGCTTTCTGCGTTACACTTGACTGAAACATGGCTCAGATGTTTTCGAGATATCTTTCTGTTGAAATGTTGTAGTTGGCTGTTGGTTTATATCCCATGGTTTATATGGTTTATATCCCAACATCTATTCAACCACCATTTTTTTGTTATGTCTTCTGTGTGATGCAATAGAACTAATGTATGAACTAAACAATCTTTCAAGATGGAAGTTTAGGCGCTACAATACTGTTTTGAAATTACGGGAAGATAAGTTGCTAACAGGTCTTCATTCCTCCTGTTACAGCCCCAGCAGTCGGTTGTCATCCCAGGGCAGGAGCCTCTGACAGCCTCCATGTTGGCTGCTGCACCACCACAGGAACAGAAGCAGATGCTAGGAGAGAGGCTGTTCCCTCTGATCCAGAGGATGTACCCCGAGCTTGCTGGAAAAATCACTGGCATGTTGCTAGAGATCGACAACTCAGAACTTCTTCATATGTTGGAGTCAAACGAGTCTCTCAAGGCAAAGGTAGGTGGAGCAAAGAAATTATCTCTGTATGTGTACTACTAAACACCTGCAATTGCAAGACTGTTGCAATATCCACCAGACATAATAAACAGAATTGAGGGTTTACCTTTTGAGTAAAATATTTTTCAGATTTATTGTCTTGTAATCCTTTATGAGTGAATTTTCTGTAAAAGTGGATACAGTATCAGATTGATATGTTTGTAATTTCCTGTCTTGATAGATCATACTTGGCAAAGCACTGAGAATGAAAACGGCTTTCAAAATATTTTGGCTATAGATTGTTTCTGATATTGAATAGGTTGATGCTGTCAATGAGTGTTTTCTCTAATGTTAGAGATGCTAATCAGTATGTTGTTTTGTCCCCAGGTTGATGAGGCTGTTGCTGTATTGCAAGCCCACCAGGCCAAAGAAGCCGCTGCCATGTCCAAGGGTGACAAGTGATCTCTCATCACTTCCTCCGTTTGTCATTTCTGCACCGTCAAGCTAGACAGGGAACATCTGGACAAAAGACAATTTAGCTGAAAAGAAGCTGGATTGTAAATTGTAGCTGTTTGTGCAAGCAAAATTTGTCTTGCATGATTTTGTCTGTCCTTTTGATGGTGCAGAATTGCTTTCTTACAGTTTGAAAAAAAAAATAGAAAAAAATAGCAAAATATGTTAAAATAAGTACAAAATAGGAGAGTTCTCCTGTTTTCACTGTTAAAAAAACATCAGTTGCAGTCAGGTACTGATAGATTATTAACTCTATCCATAACTCTGCTGTTATGACATACAATGTGTGTAATAGCGATATAAAAATAGCAACAGACTAAAAAAATCTTTCTATTGTGTACTATAGTGTTTGTTCAGTTCTTTGCTGTATTGTATGTTTGTCAAATTTCTTTGAATGACTAAACCATTGCTTGTCAGTTGAGTTGTGTGGAAGCATTTAAGAGAACATGAGAAGAGGGACTACTGTAATGGATGCAGTTAATAATCTATTGAGTCTGTTAAACCAATGTTTTATTTTACAACAAATAAACCGTTTCATTGAATTATGTTTTGTGGTTAATAACAAAGGATTGAACTGTTTCACTGATAAATTCTGACATGGTTTTAAGCATGGCAAGATGTGTAATCACTGTCGGTTGATGCCAACTGTACACCAGATTGCTGCAAAACTTCGTGTGCTAAACTGCGTTATGATAGTTTTAAAGTTGTATTTGTTTCCGAAAGGTAACATTATTGTAATAAGTACTTTTATAGCACCTCATCCACCTCACTCGGGGACATGCTCTTAGCACACGATACAATCTGATTGTTACCTATGATAACCCAAGCTGTCTGTGAGGCTCAAGAAAGTTAAGTCACATGATCCCACCAGGTACCCATTTTTCTGCCTCAGTGAATGGGCAGTTTTGAACAAACTCGCTTGCCCAAGGTTGGACTGCATGTATCAGTGGGGCAGGACTCGGGAGTCAAGCTGCCAAACATGGTCACCCATCCAAGGATTCTTTATGCTCAACATTGCTTAACTTTTAACTGATTTGTGACCTGGGGCTCCTTTCACGAAGCAACCTTGACTAAAGTTAACCTTAACTCCCATTCTTTAACATTGTGACTTACGACCACCTTAGTGCTTTTTGAAAGGAGGCCCTGAGCTCTATGCACAACACCACCACTTATGATAACTATTGGTCTGCAGATAATTGCTAAATATTGTTAGAAGTTGACTTTGTTTTGTCTGGTGCAGTAATCACTCCAGCTTATTCTACAGTGCACATTACACATCACATTTGTATCTCGATGTATCCATATGTACTGCAGGCATGTCATGATGCCCAAACTGGTTCTGCACATCTTGACACTCAGTCTCTGAATATATATAATTTTATGGTAAATAATCGCATATAAAAAATTGAAAAGGAGCCCCAGTGAGATGGATAAATTAAGATCCTGAGGGAACCTACATTTGCTCTGAATTAGAGCCTTTAGCATTGCATGGAGGGCCAGGCAACATGGGGAAAATAATGTGGTTTAGGGATTGCGTTTTGCGGGGGGTATTAAAATGGACTCCGTCCGTCCGTGCACATTTGTCTTTTCTGGAGCAGAACTCTAAAACCGTTCACTATTTCTTCACCAAACTTGGCACATAGATAGATCTGGTTGTGTACTGGTGCCTTTTGGTAGTTTTGGAATTCTGAATAAAATATTTTTGGCGTTTCGTGGCAACAAGTTTGACTTAGACTGAAATTAGTGGTAGTGCACTTTTCCGGAGCAGAACTCTAAAACTGTTCACTATTTCTTCACCAAACTTGGCACATAGATAGATCTGGTGGTGTACTGGTGCCTTTTGGTAGTTTTGGAATAAAATATTTTTGGTGTTTCCATGGCAACAAGTTTGACTTAGCCTGAAATTGGTGGTAGTGTTTTTCCGAGCAGAACTCTAAAGCCGTTCACTATTTCTTCACCAAACTTGGCACATAGATAGATCTGGTGGTGTAATGGTGCCTTTTGGTAGTTTTGGAATTCTGAATAAAATATTTTCGGGCGTTTCCATGGCAACAAGTTTGACTTAGCCTGAAATTGGTGGTAGTGCTCTTTTCGGAGCAGAACTCTAAAACCATTCACTATTTCTTCACCAAACTTGGCACATAGATAGATCTGGTGGTGTACTGGTGCCTTTTGGTATTTTTGGAATTCTGAATAAAATATTTTTGGTGTTTCCATGGCAACAAGTTTGTTTGACTTAAACAGAAATTAGTGGTAGTGCACTTTTCCTTTTCCGAGCAGAACTCTAAAACCGTTCAATGTTTCTTCACCAAACTTGGCACATAGATAGATCTGGTGGTGTACTGGTGCATTTTGGTAGTTTTGGAATCTTGAATAAAATATTTTTGGTATTTCCATGGCAACAAGTTTGACATAGACTTCAAAACTTGGTGATAGTGCTCCTTTCTGGCAGCAGAACTTTAAAACCTTTTTCAATACTTTAAAACTTTCAATACCTTCCACTTTTCTTTATACACACCTAAATATTTGACATAATCATAACTCGTAGACAATCATGAAGAGTATTTTGTCATTGCGGGGGATATTTATGACTTTGTCTTCTTGTTGTAGTAGATTTGCCAAGTTCACTGGCAAAGTGGTTGTCATCACAGGCATCTGATGTAAACAAATATACAGAAGCAGACATTGAAATATACACTTTATACTTTATTAAACACAGGTTTTTCACACATTTTGACATGATTCTGTTCTTAAACGTGTATTTTTATTTGGAGAAATTGTTGGAAGGGGGAGGAGGAGGAGGGATGCAACTGTGATAAATGTAGCGCTTGACGAACCCACAAGGCAAGAGTAAAAGAGGTCCAAAACAGACCTGGAGACTGGAAAAGGATATATATGATATATATCACAAAGAGTAAAGGACCCAGAACTGATCCCTGTGGTACTCCACATGTAAGATTGGCACAGCAAGATTGTTTGTCTCCTATGATAACATGCTGACTTCGGTGTCAAGATAAGATTGGATCCAGGTAAGAGGAACACCAAGAATGTTCATCTCATCCTTGACTCGTTGGAGAAGCTGTTGATGATTCACTGTGTCAAACTCCACTGAGAGATCCAATAATGTAAGAGACGCCATATGGCCCTTGTCAACCTTGGCCCTCTGGAAAAGGAACTGAGTTCATTCAGTACCCGCAATAATGCTCTCCCGGTACTGTGATTGGTGAGATAAGCAGACTGAAAGTCATCCAGCAGTTTATTGTTCACCAGATGTTCTCTCAACCTTCCATGTGCTGCCTTCTCCTATGAAAGAAAAGTAAGATTAGATACAGGTCTATAATTTCGATCCAGGTTGTTCTTCTTTATAAGAGGTGTGATAACTGCCTTCTTGAGGACGTCCGGGGAAACACCCGGAGACAAGCTAGTGTTTATATTTTTCCTTATCCTGACTCATGCTTATTGCTTGTCTCCCTTTCCTTCCGAATGCTAGTGGAACACTTGAATCCCCTTTTGAAGCTCCCTTCAAAACAGCGGACGTAAAATCACTTACCAGGAGTCATCTCCCTTCTCAGGTTTTGGCGGGAAACGGCGCCACCTGTCTCCCATGCACCTCACTCTCTCCTGATTCGCCCGAGTGGGCGGTTGTGAGAGCACCTGGTCCCCTATACGGCATTATATCCTTTTATTATTTAGGCCTTTCTTCTAAATTAGCTGTATAAGGCTTTAGTTAACGTTTAATTTCTGTTTTATCACGTTTTTACGTGACTGTTCAGATTGTTTACAATTGATGAAATCTTGTTCTGGTTGTAGGTATCGATTGTCTGCTGTTGATCCACATAACCTATGTCCTAATTGCAAGCCCGTATGTTTATCTGACTCTCGTTGTCAGTTGTGTTTTCACCTGTCTGATATTGCATTTTACAAATATTCATATTATCTGTCTAGACGTGCAAAGGACAGGCCCAGATGAGATTTACATGACATTTCTAAACCGGCTAAGCTTGCAGAGGACCGGCAGTTGGTGTCTGCGCAGATTCACCATTCCAGTGGTCTACCGGGGTCGTCTACGGAGGAGGTTGCTGCCGTAGACAATGCTGGCTCGAGGAAGAGGTCATCTACATCTGATAATTCCTCATCGCAGTCTAAGAAGACTAAGGCATCATCTTCCCAGAGGAAGAAGTCAGCTACAACTAAGACCTTGTCGAAGTCTCCACATAGGGCAACGCAGAAAACGAGGTCTTTTTCAGCTGAGATCGTCCCTCTGGAAGAAATAGATGTCTACGATGAGCCGCCCATCCTCATCCCTGAGATCACATCTAGGAAGAAGACGAAGGCGTCTTCTACCGTGACCACACAGGACAACCTTTCAAAGCAGACGTTCGGCAGAGAGGGTCAACGCCCTTCGGAAGAAGCCTCCTCCGTCTCAGATGCGTCGTCGTTACAACAGACAAAGCAGACCTTCAACCTGGGCTCCTTTATGCAGCAATTTACCCAACAGATGTTGGATCTGATGGAACAACGGTTCGCACGCAAGAGAGCTGCGACGAAGACGACGCCTGCGAATTTAACCCGAAAGTGAAGGCCAACTGAGTTGCACACCACGTCCGTTGGGAACCAACGTCCTGCAGAGCGTACAGGAAGATTCCAGCTCTACTACAGCGTCCGCACGAATATCTGGCAGCCATACCAATGTGGAACCTGCACCGACTACGTTCGGGCGGTAGGAGTAGACGTTCGCCAAACCCACGTAGATCATCATCGACTTCAGATACGGACATTCGTCACGAACCTGCACGTAACGGTTTGTTACCGAGGAGAAGAGAATCAACACCCGTACGAAGGCATAGAGATTCGTCACAAGACTCTAACCCTCGAAAAAGCCGCTCACCTACACGCAGGTTCGCGCGAAGGCACGCACGATCATCTCTATCTCCACGCAGGTCCCCACGAAGGAAGTCACGAACACATTCACGAACGTATGGTTCGCCATGAAGGTCACCACGCAGGTCACCTTACAGATCGCCACGCAGGTCACCACATAGATCGTCTTACAGATCACCTTACAGATCTCCTCGTTCAGACGACACTAGAAGACATCTATCCTCAGAGCAGGAAGATGACGACGGTTTGGAACTCGCATCACCCTCTAAGGAGACCAATGAAGCACTATTGTACTTGATGTTGAATGATGATATAGACACACTCACGATGCCACCTATCGACCCTGTCTCAGACGTTCCAGACAACCTCAGCACAGCCTTCAAGAAGGCAACTAAATACCAGACTCAGAGCATTCCGTCGTTCAACGCTAAGAAGTTCTCTCTACACCATATGGAACCCTTCATGAAGGCTGCAAAAATAGACGAGAATTATAAGATCATCAATGAAAGTCGGACGAAATCTTACAAGATAGAAGATAAAAAGCTGGCACAGTTAGACACAGTAACCAGACGAACCTTCTTCGGCCTAGCCAGGTCAAGAGCTATCAACGAGACCCTCATCTCGAAGTTTAAGAATTCAACTTCAGAGGAAGATCGAATGG